ACAGAACTTGTATGAGCCATCAGGTTTTGGGACCAGGATCACAGGTGAAGACCACGGCGAGAAGGAGGGCTCAATGATGTTGTTTTGGAGCATCTGATCAACTTGTTCTTCGATGATCTGATTTCAAATAAAGTAATCAGAACAGTAACGTAATTACTTTTAAAAGGAGTAATCATTAATCAGTAATTTGATTACATTTTCAGAGTAACCCAACACTGGTCATGAATCAGTGGCATTGGGTAAGCGTTGGGTACAGTCTTGCTGTTTAACTTTCTGTAATCCACACAGAACTTGTATGAGCCATCAGGTTTTGGGACCAGGATCACAGGGGAAGACCACGGCGAGAAGGAGGGCTCAATGATGTTGTTTTGGAGCATCTGGTCAACTTGTTCTTCGATGATCTGATTTTTGAGGGGCGAAATTCTGTATGCCTGGGATTTAAAAGGTATATCGTCAGTCAATGTGATCTTGTGTTGTACGACTGATGTTTTATCCAGGATGTTTGAAGTGGTGAGTGGCCAGGTGGAGATCAACTGCCGCAGCTCTTCCTGATTGTCAGAGTCCCATTGTGTAATCTCTGGGGTGAATGACATGAGTTCAGGAAGTCTGCAAGTTTGTGCCAGAATGAGCTTGACCAGAGGGTGTAGTCAGACCTGCTGGAACCTGTGATGGCAGGAAAGAGTAATATGTGTATCCTTTTCCAGATCTTAAGCCATACCTGCCTTGTCCCACTTCCAACACAGCTCCATTGCCGTTCAGGAAGTTTAACCCAGCAGTAAGGGGAAAGGCGAGGTGAGTGTTTTTCAGGATATATGTATCCACCGTGCACTCTTGATCATGCCAGTGATACAGTAACTTTTGCAGGTCTCTGGATTGGTGAATCGTTCTATCTGCCATTATGAATCTCTGAGGGGCAGAGGTAATGACTGGTGGACTCTCAGTCTTCAGCTGTTTCCACAGGCTCTCCTGCAACAAGGTGTAAGAGCTTCCCGTGTCTAACACCGCCTTCACCTCCTGTCCATTCACCCTTACAGGAACGACGAAGAGAGATGTAATTGAACAGGGTTGTGCCAGGGTCACTCCAGCCAGGTTTTTGCTGTTGGTATGCTCTGCAGACTTCTTGGTCTTATCTTTGCTACCTTTGGTACCAAATTTTTGCCAGTAGTCCTTCGCTCCCATGCAATCCCTTTCCACCATTGACCCAACCCAAGAGGGGAACTCTAGGTGGATGGGAGGGCGAGCACAAAATGAGGATGAGCCAGCCATAACTGAGGAGGTAAGCACATTAGGTGGGGGATATGCACAGGAGGAGTTACATCATAAGTAGTATTTTAAGCTGGATGAGTTGGACCTTTCTGTTTAGCATTAGCTGGCATTGGGGTCTGTGGACAATAGACTGGAGAAATGTGGGAGGAAGCTGGTGAGTAGGCCTGTAATCTGGAGAGTGTGGGAGTACTGGTGAGTCTTAGTTTTTTCATTTGACTTTCCCATTTAGCATCTCTCCTCAGAAAACATTCAGTTACAGCCCTTTCTAATTTTTCCAATGATTTTAGGAAATAGTCCTCCAACCCAGCCAAGCTAGCATCCACGGCCTGCCTGAAACTGGTCTCCCGATTTAATGTACTGTCTATTGACTGTTTGAAATCATGCTTTATATTTTGTACTTTCTGATTAAGGGCCAATAAATCCACCTTAACTTGTGCCATGTCTGCCTGCATTGTTTGTCCCATTCCAACATTTAAAATACAACTCCCTTCATCATAATTATCATCAGACTGTTCAGAATCAGAAATGTACAATGAGTTTATCATAGATGTTATTTCAGCAGTAGGATTGTACCTGGTTACAAATGGGCCTGCTGTAAAATCCACATCTGGTTGTTCAACAATCTCTTGTTCATTTACAGGTGTACTTGGATTATCTGTAGTCACCGTGTTCACAGTATTAACATCAGTAACTGGATCAGTGTTAGGTACTTCAATCCTGATAATTACACAAATCCAAACAAACACAACAAAAGAGGTCCCGTACGGGCCACCAATATGTAACACTCTACCTAATAAAAGGCTGGCTACACAAATAAAATTGTCCTGTTACCTCTTTAACCAGCTTGTTCAAATAAGTGAAGACACAATAAATGCTACAGGAAACAAGATTGAATACCAACCAAAAGTGTATTACATCAAAAGACACAAAAAACAATATATACAATATATACAATAAATGAATGTGCCTGTGTGCGTACTGTCCTTTAAAGTCCAATGGTATGTGTGTGCCTGTGTGTGTGTATTTTCGGTTCGGCCTCACCGGTGTAGTATTTAGAGTCTGGGAGCACAAGCACTGTTCTGTGATGAAATCCAATTCAGGGTAGGGCTGGACAATAATTCAATATCAATATGTATCGCGATATAATTTTTTTCAATAACGGTGATATGATTTTTAAACACATTTCTGATATTTCGATATTACCAGTTTCCCATACATTGATTTTTTTCTGGCTGAAGCACATTTGTTTCAATCTATAAGAATAATCAGCCTACACTACCAGTCAAAAGTTTTTGAACAGTAAGATTTTTTATGTTTTTTTTTTTTTAAGAATTCTCTTCTGCTCACCAAGCCTGCATTTATTTGATCCAAAGTACAGCAAAATTAGTAAAATGTTGAAATATTTTTACTATTTAAAATGGCTTTCTATTTGAATAGATTTTAAAATATTATTTATTCCTGTGATCATACATAGGTAAATTTTCAGCATCATTACTCCAGTCTTCAGTGTCACATGATCCTTCAGAAATCATTATAATATGCTGATTTGCTGATTATCAATATTTAAAACAGATGAGTAATTTTTTTTTCAGGATTCTTTGATGAATAGAAAGATCCAAAGATCAGCATTTATCTGAAATAAAAAGCTTTTGTAACATCCATTCAGTATAATTTTTATTATTTTTTTGGGAAAGAAATTATAGAAATTAATACTTTTATTTAGCAAGGATGCTTAAAATTGATCAAAAGTGATGATAAAGGCATTTATAATGTTACAAAAGATTTCTATTTCAGATAAATAGTGTTCATATCGATATCGGAATTATATCGTATCGACCGAAATTAAGAAATATATCGTGATATCAATTTTGGCCATATCGTCCAGCCCTAATTCAGGGTATCATTTTGTTAATTGCTATACCTGATAAAGATCCACATCTCCTAGAAAATTGGAGGCAATTGATTATAAACTAATTATGCTAAGTATCAAACAGGCTTTCTAAAAGGTCATTACATAATAATATTAGATTAGCTGTTACGATTGCCAGCAGGAGTGCCCACAAGCTTCACTAGAGGGCACTCCATCTCGTACCTTTGCCATTCACCCACCATTTCCCATAATCCTTTGCCAGAACTCATCAGTTCACAGCTGTCACACATTAGGAGGACTATAAAGCTTGCACACACACACATTTTTGATTTGGAATTTATTGTTAACCTTTTTTTGTAATGGCAAAATTTCACATACATAAACAAAAATATATTAATTAATTTCCTATGTTAAATTTGTTTTGTATAGATATGAATTGTTATATTTCTTCAATAAAACTATTAAAAAATAAAAAATATGAGGCATGTTTAAAATACTATGACATAAGCTTCAATCCCCCTGGTACTTTGTAATGTCATTATATGTAAAACTTTACTGTGATCTATGATTTGTTTGTTTTTATATGTTTATAATTTGCAATGTTATTAATTGTATGTTCCTATTCTCTGCAATAAAAAAGACTTAATAAACTAAAACTGCTTACCTCAAACTCTTTTCCCTTCCTCTTTCGCAGCTTTCTCTTTTTTTCAGCAAACAAAAAAAGTACAACTGCCAAACTGTGATTCGTCATGCTCTTTTTGTTTACCACTAGCACATGCCGATCAAAAATGTGAAATTGCTCATAACTCCTAGTCCTTTTGTTGTAGACTCAAGTCTCTGTTATCATTGGAATCCTTGGCTCAAGACAGACAAAAAACATGAAGATTTTCCAGCCGTTTTGAATTTTTCACAAAACCTACTTTTGAGAACTAGTCCTAGGTTTCTCTCCCAATCGGAACCAATCCAGTGCAGAAAAGTTCTCTTGAGTGGGATTAGCAAAAGTTATCAAAACCAAGTGGAAGTTCCGTTGTCCATCGGAACAGGACGCAAAAACGTTTGAAGGGGGTGGACCACTTTTACTAAAACAGCTATAACGTGAATGGAATGAGTGATCTTCACCAAACTCGGAACACAAATGAATTCTCAATATTTGGACAAATTACAAAAATGTGGGCATTTGACCACTTGATGGCAATATAACAGGAAAAACCAAACATGAAAATGGTTGTAACTACGCACCCGCTAGTCTGACTGACTTGAAATTTGGCATGCAGTGTTTGTGTCCAAGGTGCCAGCAATATCTCTAAGGACATTAGTGTATCTTGAAAAAACATGGCTGCCATCAGCCAGTCAAATTGATTAGACAAGGTTAACGGAGGCCGATCGGAACGAAACTGGATGGGCCTGTTTGACTCTGGTTGGCCCCAAATGTCTGTGAGAAATTTGAAAGAAATCAGCCATCTTCAGATGGTCCTAACAAAAAGTTATCAAAAGCTTTTGATGCGGTTTTCAGCAATTCTTTGGCATATTGGCACCAAACTCTGTGTGTCATTGTCACCCCTAGTTATCCACACCACATCAATTTGGGAGCAGCACCACCTATTGGTTAAAAGTGATAAATTATTAAATAATATTTCTAGTCATTTTATTTATTTATTTATTTATTTATTTTTCCAGATAAAATTATCTTAAATTGTCTATAATTGCTTAAATGTCTTAAAAAACACTTGAATCCCGGTAATTGCAGCTTGTAGCTATATTTATTATTATTATTATAATAATATGTGAATTGGGATGCAGTCAAGGTTAATTAAAATTACTATAAACTACAATGTATTTCTTTCTGTATCAGAACAGCTCTTACTTTTTGAACAAGTGTTGTGGCAAGTTCCTCTATAAGTTCTTCCTTGTGGTCATGCAAATAGCAAGCCTCATTCTGTTTCTCCTGTCATATAAAAGAGAAAGAGAAGCAGCCATGAGAAAGAAAAGTGCAACTGTGGTTAGATATTCATGGAACATGAGTAATGATAAAAACTGACAGACAGAGGAGTCAACAACATTTGAAATATACAAAATAAAGTGATATTTGTATGCAGGAGCCTTATATGGGTGTTCAGAAGAACAGACGGATGTAAGCATGAAAGCCTGATGGATTAGTGAATACTTGGATGGGTGGATGAAGGATGACTTAACAGTTGTTTGGTTGGATGGATGATATATAAAGAGGAGTCTCTAACCAGACTGTCTCTGTAGCTCTCAGCTTTAGCAATGGCTTCCTCTATCGCCTCTTCTGCCACGCGTAGAGCAACGGTGAGTGTGTCATGCTGTGACCTGTATGCACATATACACACATTTACAACTCTATCTATTTAATGTCTATATAACTAGACGCACAATGAAAGCTGATTGCTTTCTCTGTGTATGAGTGTGTTTTTGTGTTTGTGTATGTTGGGTGTTTATCTTCATAGCAATTCATGGACTGTTCAAGTTCAGCAGTGATAACAGCAATAGACCAACACTTGTAGTCAAGAGCCCTTGTTCCTCATGCCAACAGGTAACTCAGTATAACACAGGACATATTGCCAAATTTCCCTGTGTGTGTGAGAAAGTAGGCCTATATCTTCTGTAGAGGAAGTGTTTTAAGTTCAGAGTTATCAAAGGGAACGTTTAAATAAAGTCCTCTGTTGTCGGGCTTGATGCAAGTTCTAAGCGCAGTAAAAGGCACACAAACCGTTTCTGTTCTGTAAATCTGACTGAATCTGGCACACAAATAGTTTCTGTTCTGTAAATCTGACTGAATCTGGCACACAAACAGTTTCTGTTCTGTAAATCTGACTGAATCCAGATGCTTTAAGCAGTTACAGACAGGCCTTAGGGTTTCATGTAGATTAATTACCATTTAGATGTGCAATTGTTACAGAGCTGATGGGACGAGAGGCATGCAGATCCATATGCAAGGCTTTATTAAGACGGAGACGTCTCATAAAACAGGCATGGGTCAGACAATGGCAAACAGGTATATTGAGGGCAAGACAGAAAAGTAATCCAAAACGGGCCAAGGTTTCTGGGGTCATGACTGAACTTGGGGGCAGATAACAGGTTCACTGATTGCAATGGGACTGACAGAAACTTCAAACACATTACTTGAAAGTGGACAGACAAATGTCTCAACATTAGACTTACAGACTGAAACAGGACTGACAGAAAGTTCAAAATCAGGATCATTAGCAATATTTAGACAGACAGAAAATGTATTAGTGGCCTCTGGGCTCGTGACTTGGCTAGCAGGGCAGACAGAAGGTTCGTTAATGGCCCCTATGGCCATGACAGGGTTAACTGGGGAGGGAAAAAGTACATTTAAGGCCTCGGTCGCAACAGGCTGGTTTGAGAGTTCCAGAATGGCTCTTGCAGCCGCAACAGAACAGTCAGGAAATTCACAGACAGCGTCCTTGGCTGTGACAGACAGGGCTGAGAGTTCATAGGCAACCTCCTCGGCTGGATCGGAACAGGACAAAAGTCTATAATTGGCCTTCATGACGGTTTTAGTCGAGAGTTCCGAGATAGACTCCTCGGCTGGTTCAGGGCAGGAAAAAAGTTTATAAGCGGCCTCCGCAGCCGCAACAGGACAGGAAGAGAGAGTAGTTCAAGCAGCTTCTCCAGAGGTGGTGGCCCATGCTGCAGAACCTCCCGAGGCGGCGGTGCTCGCTTCAGCTCCTTGCGCGGTGGTGGCGCCCAGCAATGGCGCCCGGCCTCCTTGGCCGGAACAGGACAGGCAGAGAGTTCACAGACAGCCTCCTTGGCCAGAATAGAACAGGTAGAGAGTTCACAGATGGCCTCCATAGCAGTTACAGGACAGGCAGAGAATTCACAGACGGCCTCCATAGCGTTACAGGACTGGCAGAGGGGTCCCAGATGGCCTCCCTGGCCAGAACAGAACAGGACGAGAGTTTATAAGTGGATATCACTGACACCTCTGGAGGTTCTGCAGCGGATGCCGCCACCTCTAGAGGTTCTACAGCCGTACCATCAGGAAACAGGGAAAGTTCATGAATATTCTCCTTAACAAAAGAGGCACAGAGTTCAGCAACGGTTCCTTTGACCGTGACATGACAGGCTGAACGTGTATTGCTGGGTGCCACCACCGCACAAGGAGTTGAAGCCCTCCTTGGCCGGAACAGGACAGGCAGAGAGTTCACAGACAGCCTCCTTGGCCAGAATAGAACAGGTAGAGAGTTCACAGATGGCCTCCATAGCAGTTACAGGACAGGCAGAGAATTCACAGACGGCCTCCATAGCGTTACAGGACTGGCAGAGGGGTCCCAGATGGCCTCCCTGGCCAGAACAGAACAGGACGAGAGTTTATAAGTGGATATCACTGACCCCTCTGGAGGTTCTGCAGCGGATGCCGCCACCTCTAGAGGTTCTACAGCCGTACCATCAGGAAACAGGGAAAGTTTATGAATATTCTCCTTAACAAAAGAGGCACAGAGTTCAGCAACGGTTCCTTTGACCGTGACATGACAGGCTGAACGTGTATTGCTGGGTGCCACCACCGCACAAGGAGCTGAAGCAAGCACCGCCGCATCAGGAGGTTCTGCAGCATGGGCCGCCACCTCTGGAGAAGCTGCAGCAGGCACCATCGCCTCGGGGGAACACGGCAGTGTGCGCCACTACCTCGGGAGGATCTGCAGCATCAGCCGCCACCTTGGGAGACCGCACAGTGGCCGCTGCCATTTCTAACGTTTCAGTGGTGGTGTATGCAGCCCAAATACACCATAAAGCGATCCCCATTGTGGGAAGCGCTACAGACAGACGAAATAGTTCAGGAACTGGAGGGCTTGAGAGCGCTGGTTTAGGAATGCTAGCTGCACGTGCCGACACCAGCAGTGGGTCCTCCATGCTGGAAGTCAGTCTGGGATACTGAAGAACAGTCCTTGAGGATCTGGGTGCAACAGACAGGACTCTGAACGAACAAACGTGATGTGACGTGACTCTGGATGATAAGCTGTGATGTGAAGTGACTCTGGAAGTTCAGGTGAGATGTGACCATACTCTGGAATTTCAGCTGAGACATGACGAGACTCTGGAAGTTCAGCTGAGATGTGACGAGACTCTGGAAGTTCAGCTGAGACGTGACGAGACTCTGGAAGTTCAGCTGAGACGTGACGAGACTCTGGAAGTTCAGCTGAGACGTGACGAGACTCTGGAAGTTCAGCTGAGACGTGAC